TAATTTACCTCTAAAGTTATATTGGTAGTGATAAAAATATGTCATATTTATATACTATGAATCTAGATAGATTTCAGTTTATTTTGATACGTGATGACACTTTACTGTGTGAGTTTTAACATGGCTGCTTGAATAATAACACGCACAAAGTGATCCCGCGATCCGACGTTTTGTGTCACAGGGTATGAAGATCAGTTACATTTTCAGAAAAAATATAATTTCATTGTATTAAGTAGAGAAGTGTTGCTCAAACTTTTTACACTTGCGGCACACTAAATATTGTCGAAGGATCATGGTGGCACACCAACCCCAATTTGTATATTGTAGGGTGGGGGTAGAATGTTCAGAAGTAAAATTAAAGTGGAGGTACACTTGCTTTGCTGCAAAGTTGTTGTGTTGCTTTCAAATTCCATTTAGTAGATCTCGTCTGTCCTCAGTCTGCCCGATCATAATAAAGAAAATTAAAACTTAGACAGAGCAGAAAACAAGATTAACAATTATTTATCTCATTATGGTTATAATTATAATGAGGTTAAAATTTCGTTGCATATCTAGATGGCCTTCACGGCACACCGGTTGCGTATAAATTTATGAGCTAAAGAAATGTTTACGAGTGGGTGCAATGACTCAAAGGAGGGCAGACGAGTTTCAATAGTGCGCGTTATGGACGGTAATCGACTCCAAAATATGTTGAGGTTATGGAGCAAATCGATCAAGGAATCCGGGACAACCGAAGAACTGATAAAACTGCCCCTGAAATGAGGATTTGTCTTAGATTTGTACAAGGATGACTTAAGGCCCAGCAGATAATGTCTTATTCTAATGGTATCAGGCATATTGTAGACGACTGAAATAATTGCAATAAACTGCAAGATGTTGAAGATTTATTATATTTTAACCTCGTAACATTCAAATCGTTCATTTAAACAACTTTTTCTACCAAAAAACATTATTTTAACAACAAACTGAAAGCTTGTGTAGGCTTCATGTATTCAGTAGTTTATTGTTCAAAACTGTTTGTAAAACATTTTAATTTTTCAGCATAATAGTGCTGTTTGCGCCCAAATTTAGGGGCTAGTAAATAGACCTGTATATCCGAAACAAGTCGCTCAATACTTAAAGGCATGGGATAAAATTAGTGCGTAATTGCATGAATACATAGTGATTGTGTAATGTTTGCCTTGTGAAGACCGTCATTAAGCAATATTTGAATCATTATCTTACGTGAGAAACTGAAGCTAGCCTTACGTTTTCAATCCGTCAGATTCGTGAAAAGGGAATATAACAATAAGCAATGGGAGAATAGACGTAACATTAACAATAGATTTGTTGACTCTAGTTCGTCGTGTATGATACAGAGACAATAGAACATGGTTCAGTATGGCGGATAGAGTAATTTTAATGTTCACTAAATAGGACTTAGACAAGAGAGATTAGAATATTAAGTAAAGGATTGCAGGTATAAACAGATGTTACATTTCTTCAAAATATAAATAATAAGTTATGAACTCTGATTACGTTTAAAAAATTTTGGCGCGTTCGCTCTGTTATTTTATCTGGATTTTCATTTCGTGGATTTTATGTTTTTATGCTGTCTTGTAAGTACCGTAAAACAAGTATACCGTAACAACAAATACTGTAAATTTGATCAGAATCAATCCATCATTCCTAACGCAGCATAAAAATCTTTATTCAGTTATGTCCAGAATTGTAAAATCTTACGACGTAAAATGTTTCTTTTTTCTCCATAGTTCTCGTTTGAAATATTTTTCTCTCAAATAAATATTTAAAGAATTTCATTCAAGATCCTCGCAGAAACGCATGTACGTTTTCATATAATGTGTCCATTACTGTTATGTGGTTTCAATCACAACTGGAACGTGTAGACAAATTTAATAAAATTTCCAGTATTGAATGTAATGATAATCCGTCCTAAGGTTATTGAATTGTAGCATGCGGACAAACACGAACGGCGAGGATAATAAATACATTTTTTTTTAATATTCAGTCACGAAAGCACATAAAACTGAGGAGTGATCTATCGCATTCTTGTATACACATTTTCGAATTTTGATATTTTATCCCTTGTTATCTTCGACAGTTTAGCAGACCCCACAATAACACAGATTTACATCGAATTTATTTGAGCAGTTCTAAAGCTGATAGAAGACAAGACAAGGGCTCTCCTATATTTATTCGTTTTATACGCTGCATCTGAAGAACACGTAAGTGGGAGGTCCGAAGCGTTTAATGAATTAGAATCTCTGAAAGGTGCATACAAACTCAGATAACTGGACGAAAATATAAGAACAGGCAATAAGCGATCGTGTGAATGTCTGTCACAAGCAATGAGTCTGCTGGCTTGTGGCTGATAGAAATGCAGGTCACCGAGTCGACACGCAGCCAGACATGTGGAATTCGTCTTTCCGACACGGTGACAAATTGCCACCCAATAGATCGCCTTTATGAGCAAATACCTGCACGTCTTTGGAGAGAGACCATTCTTCCTTCCTGCACCTTCCCAAAATTTCCATCATCTCTCGGATTGTACAGTAAGAACAGAAATGAAATAGACACGGCATTGTGTCCCTCAGTTTAATTGCGTCTTTATCTTAGCACAACGTCGTTTGCACACGCAAATCGAGTACGGTAATGAACCTTCCGATGGCATGGAAGTCATGGAGTTTCTTGATTTGTTGATTGTGCTGCTAGCTTCTCAAGAAGGACCCTGTTCTATGGACTTCGTCAGGTAGTTAGTTAGTTAGTTAGTAGCGATCGGTCAATCAGCAAAGTGACGGGCTACGGACATGACGACTGGACTTTGACATTCTTTGAAGCTTCCCATCAAGATCCAGTTTAATTTGATTTAACTAATTCTAATCTTCCTTTTATTTCTTTACTAAGGTCATAAATCTTGATAGCAGTTTCTTTCTTTATTATTTGTATTTATTTTATGTAAGATTTGAGGTTTTCACAGCGGTGAGTATGAAGATTTCTGTCTTCTGGGTTATTGCGGTGTGTAGTCTGGTCGATGTTAACCGACGTTTCAGAGGTCATACTGCCTCCGTCAGCAGGGCGATGAGTATGAAGATTTCTGTCTTCTGGGTTATTGCGGTGTGTAGTCTGGTCGATGTTAACCGACGTTTCAGAGGTCATACTGCCTCCGTCAGCAGGGCGATGAGTATGAAGATTTCTGTCTTCTGGGTTATTGCGGTGTGTAGTCTGGTCGATGTTAACCGACGTTTCAGAGGTCATACTGCCTCCGTCAGCAGGGCGATGAGTATGAAGATTTCTGTCTTCTGGGTTATTGCGGTGTGTAGTCTGGTCGATGTTAACCGACGTTTCAGAGGTCATACTGCCTCCGTCAGCAGGGCGATGAGTATGAAGATTTCTGTCTTCTGGGTTATTGCGGTGTGTAGTCTGGTCGATGTTAACCGACGTTTCAGAGGTCATACTGCCTCCGTCAGCAGGGCGATGAGTATGAAGATTTCTGTCTTCTGGGTTATTGCGGTGTGTAGTCTGGTCGATGTTAACCGACGTTTCAGAGGTCATACTGCCTCCATCATCAGGGCGATGAGTATGAAGATGTCTGTCTTCTGGGTTGTTGCGCTGTGTAGTATGGTCGATGTTTAAAAGCGTTTCGGAGGGCATACTGCCTCCGTCATCAGGGCGATTCACCGCAATAACCCAGAAGACAGAAATCTTCATACTCATCGGCCTGATGACGGAGGCAGTATGACCTCGGAAACGTTGGTAAACATCGACCAGACTAGACAGCGCAACAACCCAGAAGACAGAAATCTTCTATTTATTTTATGTAATTCTGTGTTACTTTTCTTAAATTATTTTTGTGTTCTCTAATTGGAAAACTAAAACTCACGCACACGCCGTAGAAACTGAACAGCTTTTAATAAATAAGGAGTGATAACTGACATTGCTGTAAATTATGTGTAACTTAAGGTGTTGTTTGTATTCTGCTGTCGTAACGTTAAGTTACTTTCGTCAAAATTGTTTTTGACAGTTATTGTAAGCTATTCGTCACTTTGTCAGACGCTGTGTTTGGGGGCTCATCGATACTTGTTTTTTTTAACATGTCAGAATAGAATCCGTATTTTAACAAAGGCCTATGATGTCTTCATAGACTTATCTCAGGACTTCGACAACGGAATTCTTTACAGCAGATTTATTTGGTTTATATTCTAGTTTAGTAACCAATCAGAAGCAGAGAAATTACGTGTTCTACCCTTGTTACTCTGGTTGGGAGGGGGGGGGGTGTTTATCCGTGAATTGACTCGCTATATCTCAATACACACTATACCTTTAGTTTCTGACGGTGACAGACGTTAATAAGCACCACTCTCTATTTTTATAATAAAATGTCAATCTGTATCACTCAGTTCATTATATCTCCAAGCCACATAATTTGGGCCTCCAACACAACTCCGATAAAAGATGATCATCCTGATTGACTGAGTTCCTGAATTAATCCAACGTTTTTGCAGTTACATCGTTGGCGCCAATTTTTGCATAATTGTCTTAATTGTATGTATTGATGAAATTACCATGTCGATCTTACCTGCACGTCTTCTGAGTCAGTTCGTTAATCAAACTACATTTTAAAAATTCAAAGTTTTATATTTCCTGTCTTACTTGTTGCTTATCGGAGTGGATTGTTTGTTGCGGGATGCAGCTACCACTGTTCAGGTGTTGGCGTGACTTTGCCGCAAGTATGCTCAATTTCTATTCCTCCCTTCGAGTGTGAGACCAAGTTTGACACCCGTACGAAAGAACAGGAAAAGACATTCTTTTAAATTTTAGTCTTTCGGTCCGTATACTGTTGCAAGCACTCGTCAACGTGGCTTGATTGTCTCCAGACTCCCTTAAGCGTACTCGCGCGCGTCTGAACTTCTCAGGCGATGTTAAGGAACTTACCGGCCGTCTTCAGCCTTGCTCCGTAAGACTAGAAGGATCTAGGATTAAATGACGTAACCATATTTTAAATTTTAAATGGATTTACTGTACATAAAGTGTAACAACAAAGACAAAGTTCTCAACATCCGATTCCTTCGGTCTGCTCTATCCTGATAGAAGTTGCGTGGGAGCAGGGAACTTCTGCAGCAGCGGCAGGATGTTCTGTAAGAATCCGTTCGCTCCTGGCATTGGCATCGTGATGAGGGAAAAGCCCCCCAGAATGAGCGTCGGGTCACCACTCTGATGGAAACCAGGAAAAAGACCTCCGGTCTCTGCCCTCATCTGGTTGAAGGCCCTTTTGGGAGGTTCACTCGATTTGTCTTCGGGCAGCTTTTCTCCGTCAATTAACACTTCATTCTCGTCTTGTTCTGGCTGAACCTCTATCCTGTCTTTATTTTCAGTCTGTAACAAGAATGCCAGTTTATGATTAACTGGCCGTGGCCTGTATTATTTGCAGTTATTTTAGTAATCGCTTGTTCAAAATAGTTAAATACAAAATTTAGAATTAGCTTAGAATATGAGTAAGTTTACAGTCGAATACTTTAGATGTGGCCATTATCAACTGAATCTGAGCTATGACTTAACACTGCTATCTTTACACGTAATGAACCTTTGTGCTCTACAAGTACAGTAAATCTCTTTAACTCTTAAATAACTGTCTACTGCCCACAGTAAATATTACAAAAATTATTTTATTTTTATCACTTTATTTATTTAGCTAGCCAGATGTTTATTTATTTAAAACGACCCAGCAAGAGTTAACATGTCCTGTAATAGTATGTGTGTAACTTACATCATTCGGCGATACTGGATGAGCATTTATTGTCGTTGGTGCACCTGAAAATTTAAAGTTGTTTTAATTCGAATGAAGTCCATTACTTTCGTAATGTCAATGAAAATTTTCATATGTTTAATAAGGTCGAAAGGTGGGATAAAGAATGTTTTCACAGTCACTATTGATACATTGCTTACAGCATTATCGATGTTCGTGGATGTAGTTATGTTATGGGAACGTGCAGCTAAATATAAAATTTTCGGAGAAATATACTGACTTCATCTTCAGGACTGGGTGCTAATGCCAATGCTAATTATAATTCAAGTAACAAATATTCAAAACAAAATGTATTTCGGAAATAACTGCTGCACTATGTACCTCAGGGGCAAAGTTTGTCTCGGGTAGACAGAAGTAAATACCCTATAAAATGGTGAACAGATGGAATAATAATAATAATAATAATAACCTAAATGGGCTGAATTCTTGTGAACGATGAATTGAGAAGCAGAACTACTTATCTAATTTATGTATTGTTCTGACATTTACACGAAGAAAATAATAAAATTTATAAAAAGATTTAGCTCAGGATAAGTGGTCTTCGGCCGTATTCGAACCCAGGGTCCTCCGAAACCTAATCAGCTTTGTTAAAATTAGATGTCAGAAAATACGTCGGCGTAAATCTAAAACAGCGATACTTGATAGCAATTATTTAACAAAAAGCATGGTTGAAAATAAAAGAAGTACTGAGTGGATCTTTATTAATGCTAAATATTTAGGCTGTTAGGTTTTATGAACTAAATGACACGATACTATAAAAACTAAGGGACTTAAACCTTCATATGGCACCATTACTCTTGAGAGGTTTCAAAGCAGGCATTACGTACAGTGCCAAAGTAAAACACGGCTGAAAAAGAAACTTTTAAATATGTTAAAGAAGCCTGAGATTTGTAAGAAAGCGACACAGAAAGACTGTAAATGGTAGAAATTAGATTTTACGTCCTTAACTAGGTATTACAAGAGTAAAAAACTTACAAAATACAGACAGAAAAGATTGAGTATGTCAGATATATTTAGTAAAGTTAAAAATACAGTCGATAGAATAGTATTACCAAACACTTAGAAAGTGACGACCGAACGTCGTCGCCGAGTGGCTAGCATTTGGGAGGTCCCAGTTTCCCAGTATCTTGACCGAGAGGTTTCGTGGTTTTCCTCAGTTTCTAAAGGCAAATGCCGGGATGGTACCTTAAGTTAGGCATTAATCGCTCAGATTATTTAATTCGACACTGTATAGCATGATATTCAGAAAAAGGTGAATTAAATAAATTATTAAATAAAATACCAAAGCAGGCATTGGAATACAAACAGCTGTGACGAAGAGATTCTGGACACCTGCAAGCGTTCGTTAGTATTAAAGTCCGCGTTTCGAAACGAAAACGGCTGTTGATAAATCGAAGATGTGCAGTAGCTTTGGTACAATCTGATTGAACCTGTTGATGATCGCTTTCGGTCAAAACATTTAATTCAATTTATTTTTCGAATACTCTTAAAACAGCGAGAATTTTATGGAAAAGGGCAGTTATAATAGAGTCAATAATACACAAGTAACACGCCGGGATGCTACATTTCAGAATTTAAAATAATTTACTTTGAAATAACTGTGATATATGAACTCCGATCTCATGACAGGACTCGGTATAAGCGTCAGGGGATTTAAAATAATCCGTTCAGTTCTCTCTTTATGACCATACTACACTAGATCACGAGGCAGAATCTGCGAGTGTATTTATGAACAATACATGCGTATTTTTCTCAGTATTGATTAAATATGACAGTGATCAGAAGAACGTTTGTAAATATGAATTTGAGACTTTCTGGATAATTACGTGGAACTTTCCTGGATGGTCTACATCTCGTTTTGTGTATACTTGCATCTAGTGTAATAAGCCTAAATAACATATCAATAGAATGAATTTGCAATTAAGCAGGTTATCGTGTATGGTACCAGGTTTAAATCTCGTCCGTAGCATCATTAAACGTCATTAAATATCTAGTTATCATCCTTTTGTTTGCCCAGAATAATGCCTTTATAATGGATCGGAATAAGCCGCCATCACTTCCCCAAGCTTAAAATATTAACAACCTAATTCAAAAGTAGATAAGTAGATGGCTGAGCATCTTCGATTAACACAGAATGCGATCGACAGTAAAGTCCCTGCACTTATATTTTCCTTAATACCAACTTAGTGCGACGCTGGACACCCCTGCAAGCAGAGAGAAACATTGCGCCGAGCAGTGTTTCATGTCTCACACTGTAATCGCAATTAAAACTTTCTCTATGTTCATACAATTCTTTTAAACTTTAGAAGTGAGAACACGTATAAAAGCCTTCATCAATTGGCAACGCTTGCTTTCATGTGTGGTACTTCTGTGTAAACTCCGACATTCGGACTGACTGTTTCGTAGCGTGACGTTGGTCATGAACGGAGAATCTATGAATGAACGAAAGCTATCTGGACGCTCTGACACGGAGAGGAGTATTTGTATGCGACCCATTAGGCTCATTAATGTTCTCATAATCGCACCATGTGCCTCAGAAACTAAATTAAATGTGTGAGATTTGAGGTTTTCACAGCGGTGAGTATGAAGATCTCTGTCTTCTGGGTTGTTGCGCTGTGTAGTCTGGTCGATGTTAACCAACGTTTCAGAGGTCACACTGCCTCCGTCATCAGGGCGATGAGTATGAAGATTTCTGTCTTCTGGGTTGTTGCGCTGTGTAGTCTGGTCGATGTTTACCAACGTTTCAGAGGTCATACTGCCTCCATCATCAGGGCGATGAGTATGAAGATTTCTGTCTTCTGAGTTGTTGCGCCGTGTAGTCTGATAGATGTTCACCAACGTTTCAGAGGTCATACTGTCGCCGTCATCAGGGCGATGAATTCATACTACACGGCGCAACAACCCGGAAGACAGAAATCTAAATAAAATATGTTTCGAAATTATGTTTAAACATTCAAAAGAAAACTTTTATCTGTAATAAGTACATTTTACCATTGTCCCGGAGCGCTTATTAAGGGCGTGAGATTAGAATATGTGTCCTAATTGGCCGTTAGATTTTTGAATTAGTATTGTATTGCTAAATGTATATGATACGAAATTGTACCATTTAATTTAAACAGGAAACGTGAAAATGCAAAAATCTGATAGACAAACATGGCAGTCCTAGTTCTTGTAAGGAGGTCCGGTTTGACTACACCGCTTTCACCACAAGAAGCACTCTTGCTGCGTTTCCGACATTCAGAAGCAGTTGCCTTACCGTGAACCGTAAGACCAACGAGGCTTGCCCACAGGAACACTGCAGTAAGCATGTTGAAACTTGACTGTAAAAAACAGAAGTCTCTCATTACATTTATATCCATTTCTATTGAATAGATGCCTTCTTGAGAGGTGAATTTTCGCTCGTCATTAGTGGAAAGTGAAGGTTCAGCACCGTGTTTACAACAGCCGACAAGCTGGTCCTATCTGAACCACTTGAATCAAATCTACACTTCACAGATATTGTTATTATATAACGCAGTATAGACGCATTGTGATTATGTTAAAGTTACCTGCTCCGTTTTGATTCGCATTTATGAGTACATCAATTCCAATTTTCTCACACCCATTAGCTCCTATTTGTCGCCTCGCTATTATTTGTTTTGGCCGTAACTGATCATAAAATCAATTAGTAGTACTTAAATAAATGTCCTCTCTCTGTTCTCAAATGCAAACTCAGAGAGGGTGTTGTGTCACAGCAATGTTACGGGTTATATTGCGTCAGAGTAATCCCAGGTAGCATGAACTTTAAATTCGTTCAAATGTTGTAATGCAAGTGACGACAGAGAAACTTTGCTATGTGGTCGTCATGTTTCAGACTATCTTATACTGTTAAGTTGTTGAAATTAATGCCCGCCCCAGTCGTCACATAGATGGTCCGTATTATTCACTAAGTAGCGTTGAAACGTGACATTTCTCTGCGTTCAACAAATATCTGTCTCTTGGCATGTAATAATAATGACTTATAAACTAACACGGGCCCAATAAGTATATTCTACGTTCCTTTGAACTTAGTTTACAAAGTAGCTGAAATTGTTATCAGCTATAGACGAGCAAAACATTTGTATAAGTTGCCTTAACGTTTGTCTAGTTGCAGTCAAAGTGGTTTAAATGTTATCAGCAATGAGGATAATCTACAAAATGTTGTTGTTTACAAGTCCTGCTCCCATTTTACAGCTTCTAAAGTGATTGCAGTGTGGCTACGCTAAACTAACACTGTACGTAATACGGCCTAAGTTGAAAGGAATGGGAGAATGACGGAAATGTAAAAAGAAATAAGAAAATAGTAAGGGATAGAAATAAATGGGCTAAATTATTCATCATTGAATTCCAATGAGTCTTCCAATAGCTATATGAGAATGTTCATCAGTGGATATTCCTCTTGATGGCTTTGAAACAGGGGAGTGTGAAAATCGTCTATGGGACGGGAGACTGAAGAATATTTCTCTTTACCAGATAGTATTATTTTTTATTATTTGTAGTGTTCTGTCTGACGACAGGTCCATATGAACAGGATCCTTCCATCCTTTTCTCGGACTGGGACCTGTTCATATACGTTCTTGGCAGATGATCCAGAAGTGGTTTGCCATTGCCTTCTTCTGTGTGTGAATGGAGTAATTGTTGGGATGCCACGGAGAAACCGGGGAAGCCCCCGGAGGAAAACTCCGTGTTGCCTAGACCACGGCCTTGCCCAACACAAGTTATAAATCCGGGCACCGCCGGGAATCGAACCCGATACCCCTAGGATTACAAGGCCAGCGTTATAACCGCTAGACCACCGTGGCAGGTATTAGCGAGATGAAATAAATACGGATAAGATGAGCAGGGCATGTAGCGCGCATGGTGGAACTAATGAATGCGTCGAAATTTTTATTTGGAAGCCTAAATAGTAGACATGACTCGGAAGACCTGGTTATAAGTAGGAGGATGATATTAAAATAGATATTAGTGAGATATAATTTTGGGGGTGAGGATTCAATTCATCTGACTCAGAAGAGAGGCCGATTGCTGTCTTACGTGGATACGGCATTGAATGGTCGATTTCATAAAAAAGGTGGGAATTTGTTGACTAGCTAAGCGTACTTTAAGCCTCTCAATAAGCATTCTGCTCCACGGAATTAATGCCGTCAGAAATGTTTCTGTAATCCTTGGACATTTGTCGGTATTCTTGTGGGGTGGTGCTAACCGGCGAGTTGGAACGGATGCATCCGTAAGGCTCTGTTCTAGAATTCATCTGGAGAGACTGAGGAAAGCCACAAAACTTTCCAGAAATACCAACCAAGATTCGAATCAAGAATACACTAAATATGAAACACAAAGCAGACATTATTGTGTAGTTCTTAGCGTTTGAGCTGCTTATTCTTTAAATCTAGATTTCTATTCTCATCCCGGACTACGTTAAGTTGAACAATTAATTGCCGACATATTTTAGTAAAATGGTAAACGACCACTTCCTTTCCATACGACTGATTATTGAGTATTATAATCTTATTTGTTGTTGTAAAGGCGCAGTTGAATGAACTCACATAGAAAACGAAGCAGAACTGGTTGTGTTTGTGCATGCGTGCGTGCGCTTTGATGCAACATAAGTTTACTGAACGCGGAATGTACTTACCTTAAGCTACACAGTCCTCGGAACACAAATGTGCTTGAAATAATTCGGTACACTATTAAACTGAGCATTCCAAGTTTTCGCGCGCAGTTATATAGACTTGCATTTATTACTGCCTGCCTGCATAATTAATTAGGTAACTCCCTTTTCCCTTTGTACTCAGCTGGTGTTATAAAGCGTTTTAAAATCTGCATGGCTTTGTGTCGTTTAGATATATAAACCAGGTAATGTCATTAATTTTTCATAAGACGCGCCTTTGTCACATTACCATAGCAAATTTATTTTCACTCTTTGTCAGATTTATGCGCCGCGCATATTTATTAAATAACTGTACTTTCAGATACCCTTATTTATGAAATACGCACATCGTAAACTTAATTTCCTTTTTATAACTGTCTGTAGTCTAAAGACCTTTCCGTCATAATACAGCTTGTGGTCCGTAAGATGGGACATGTTCTCACATATTTAGTGGAACATTTATTCCTAGAGCCCCCCCCCAGTGTTATTGTCATTAGTTTTCTTGTTGCCTCTTGTTTAAGTATTTGAATGTAAGAGATAGAATGTTGATGATGGAAGGACAAATTTGGGCCTACATAGTAAGCACCTTCATAATTCTTAACTTTCAGCATATATTATTTAGGCAATGAAAAGGAGAGTTGAATGCCCGAAGCATGTAGACTGGATATTGGGAAAGCATATCAATGTTAGGAAACGTGTAGGAAAAATACCCCTTCTAATACCAAGTTGCATATAAGAGGAACATTTTAGAATGGAAAACTGTGGTATGAGGGTATTGATTGGATTGATTTGGCTCATGATAGGATCCAGTAGTGGGATCTCGTGAACGTGGAAATAAACATCCGGGTTGCATAAGTTTTGGGAAATTCCTTTACCAGCTACGCTGATTTTGTCTTCTGATGAAGGACTTCGCTCACTGTAGTTATAAGAATTCATCAGTCCATTCTGCGTCTGTAGCCTTGCATATATATAGGTAGTAATGTTATAATGCTGCCAGATTCTTTTGCATAATATAATGTGGGGATTTTTTCTCGCTCACAAAGTTCCTAACGCGGATGAATTAGTGTTTGTCTATTAGATGCACAGCATAATGAAGTAAAGGATTCCGAACACACGCGGTTCCCCGTTCCTTTTCCAGGGAACTTATATTATTATTATTTAGTGTTCTGTCTGACGACAGGTCCATATGAACAGGATCCTTCCATCCTTTTCTCGGACTGGGACCTGTTCATATACGTTTTTGGCAGATGATCCAGAAGTGGTTTGCCATTGCCTTCTTCTGTGTGTGAATGGAGTAATTGTTGGGATGCCACGGAGGAAAACTCCGTGTTGCCTAGACCACGGCCTTGCCCAACACAAGTTATAAATTCGGGCACCGCCGGGAATCGAACCCGAGACCCCAGGATTACAAGGCCAGCGTCCTAACCGCTAGACCACCGTGGCTAGAACTAGAGTGATAAAATTGTTAATAAATGAGATGTAAAGTCCTCACGGCTGTGGAGATGTCGAGTTTCTTTCTGTGTTGTAACACAGAAGTCAGCGCGGTCTTGTACCGAGAATACCAGAACACCAACATCGACATTATATTTATATTTGGTACTAAGATGACAGCCACATAACTGACTTCGAACCTGAAAGCTACGGTTCAAGTCTCCGTATTAGGATTTGCTTTGTTTCGTCATCACGAACATAGTCGTACTGGCTGATAATGAAATGAAGATGTCACTCAACTTTAACCTTCTTATAAATCTATTTAATGTATTATTTTAAGTTAATAAATACATTGATTATCTGAAAATAACTCGGCATGCAGTTGGTTTGTCTGCTCTAAACACAACACACGCCAAGCCGTGGATTAGGAGCTACTGTTTACAGCTTTCTACACGCAAACATAGATAACGCGGCTTCGATAACATTTGGAATAGAAGCACATATAATTATAGTGTTAATGCAAATGTTGGAAAGCTAGTCGGTTTATTTAGGGTACTTTAATTTGCTATTCGCTACTTCCTCTGATAAAACATCGTGGTCAGTGTAACGGTATGGTAATATCCCGCTTGTTGTGAAAACCAGTTAGGTCTTTCGCATTTACCCATGGCTGCTGACTGTCTCTTGTACTGGCTACTAACGTGGATCATACACAGAGAAAAAAACAGTTTTATGAAGTCGGTTTTATGAAATTAAAAAATATGGACGGTTTAGTCTAAAACTGCCGTTATTTTAAATTGGAGGTCATACATATAAAAGTCACATGAAAGATTATTGCGTATCGGTGTTTAATGTGCCTGTATGTGACCTCTAATTTAGAACAAAGGAATATTTGAGTGAAACCGTAGTTCTCAGTTTTATAAAATCGATTTCATGGAATTGGTTTCTTCTGTGTATGGCCTCCTACGACAATCCATGATTTTCACTTGTTCACTGTCGTTAATTGCTAATATAATGGATAGTTCAAGTACAGATGTCCTAAGACTGCCACTGGGCTGACGCACTGACAGTAAGATATACGAGTCAGGTTTCCTGGAATACGTATTTGATAGATACAGAGATAGTCAAGAAATTTCTTGCTTTTATTGAAACCAAATGTTTATTAACGCGCTCTCAGAAGCCCGTCAGTTGATGATAACCTCGACCGTTTTAATTCAGCAAACGTTATGAAAACTTTGGCTGTGGATTCTTCTTTATTTACACGTGACTTCAGTTCACATTCTCATAACCTGTTTCTCTAACATTCATTTTAATATTAGCCCCCCATCTTGTTAAGGGATTTTAGGTTCTGGCGGCGGTATATGTGAACCTGATTGTCTCTGGGATGTTACACCATGTAGTCTGGTGTAAATTGCCCACGATCAGGGCAAAGAGTTTTCCTCAACATCACAAAAGGTAGACATCTTCCCATCTCTTCATTCTTATTGATGTTTTCCATAGAAGTACCTTGCTTTCGCCGTCCTAAATACGTATCCACGCCTTCGTAATTTTCCAAACCGACTAAAATGAATAAATTCGAAACTCCTCCTTTATGTCGTACATTGAAAGCTTGCCTCTAATCCTTTGTTAAATTATGTCCTTTTAGTAAACCGTGTTAATGTTGATCCGTCAGATTAATATACATTTACAGCACATTGAATAAATTTGTGAATAAATGTTCTTGAAATAGTAATTTATGGCAGTAACCAAAAATGCGGGTTACATGTTTAAGGAACGCGCCATTATTATTGTTAAACCACAATTCACGATCCAAAATATAATGACGACCCGAAGATCTCACTTCAGACGTTCTCACGAAAGTCATGTTGATATTCTTTACACTGAGAACATAAAATAACTATTTCGGGTGTAATATAACTTTATGCCTAGTTGATTTTGTTTCATGTCGTGTCATTCCTTTCGGATTCCATTCTATGAACGGACTGTCAAAAATTTGTATACTGTCAACAAAATTACTTGCACCTTAAGAATGCAGACCATCAGACTGGGAGCAAATGTTCGAAAATTCTGATACAGACAGCACTTTGTACAGCCCTATCTTAAAATGACTTTGTAAGTCATGCATACACGGATCATGTGACTTTCTCTCTCTCTCTCTCTCATCAGTCTCTTGTACTGTATCCAAGAGATAATCTTTCTGGTTTGTTAAAAGAAAACTGTTCTTTTGTGTAATGCGGCTTCCATATTTTTCACTGTTGATATAAATATCAAGGTTTCTCCTTTTTCTCCTTCTGTACATCCACGTGCTTCTAGGACTCGTGTAAATACTCCATAAAGCAGGTCTAGTGTCGAGATAAAAACAGCTGCCGGCCAGTACTTCGTTCCGGGCTAGATTGGCGTACGTGCTGCGTTCACAACAGAATTTAAAGGGAAGAATTCTGAAGGGACTTGAAAGGAAACTGTTGTGGCTTTCAATTAAGGATAACCCCCACATAGCATTGATTCTAGTGTAACATTCTGAAAGTCAAAGTGGATTTTAACTGAATAGTTCTTGGTTTATTTAAGAAAGCTCTTTTTTATCTGTATTGATTATGTGGGATCGAATGTAAGGACCAACTGTGAATGATGAATTAGGCCTACAAAAGATGTGGATGAAAGCGATCTTAGACTATTTTAAGGCATTGCCTCTGACTGGAAGTGCTGTGAGAAAACATTATAAACCGATAGCCGATGTCGTTTCTGAGATTTGACCGCGAGACCTCAAGAATGTGAAGCAGGAGTGCCAATCACTTTACCAGAAAGTCTGGTAGGTTAACGGTCCCAAAATGTTTAACACTAACAACAAAAAGCAGAGTACAATAAAAACCTTTCGCTTTGTCACAAGTCGATATAAAGAAATTTGAAGAAATCATAAGAAATAATTTTGTCATTAACTGCACCCAGCAGAGTGCCACTGGAGAAGCTAGTAGTGGTTCTGTCAGACTAGAAATTCTCTGCGTTCTTCTGGAACGTGAGAGTTCTTTACCGTGTTCGCAAGAATCCACCAGCCTTCTCGATCCTTAACAAGCCGAATACAGTCTATACCCTCACACCCTGTTTCCCTACGAGTCATTTTAATTTTATCCCCCGACCGTTTCCCAGGTCTTCGGGACAAACTCTTCCATCCAGGCTTTCCATACTCTCCGCCCGTCACACCCTCCTTGATTTGACCATTACCAATGCCACGTGATGTAGAGTACAAAGTATACAGCTCCTCATTATGCAGTTTCCGCAGTCACCTACAGCTTCATCCATATTAGGTCCACGTGTTCTCAAACACCTTCAATGTGTTAATAAAGTCTTCTCGGGCTATCAGCCGTGTTAGATGGTGATTAATCGCCGACGTTTCTAGGACCATCTCCGTCCTAATTTTGAAGGTTGTTGACTGTGTGGCTCGTAGCGCGAACTAGTTCAAATAACATTTTGAAGTATAACCCGTAAAGACAAGAAGAAAAACTAACTCCTAGAAACAGGGCGCATCTTGAGAAGCTGACAGTCGCTCAATTAACCAAGATCCTTCCAATATTTTATGCTAATCACAGTGCTTACAAGAACTCGCTACTAGTGACCCCTGTCCTTTGCCAGATTTCGCAAGAAGGTGAACGTTACGAGAGGAAAACTTATGCCACTCCTGCTCTGTGTTGTGTTCGCCCTCAGTAGAAATGTGTCGACAAGCGAATGGAGGAAAGCAAACAGTGGCTCTCTATCCACACTATACGATGTGCTGATATATTTGCCCTTCACACGTGCCGAACCAGAGGCTATGGCGCTCGATGCACCGTGAACTGGAAGGACTTCGCCAGTGGCCAGCTCCTTCTTTATTTCTAGAAGCCAACTGAACACCGGTAATGATGAGGAGTGAGCCTGTTCTTGGTACACTGACCGCATATCTTATCTCAGATATCTGGTGGTTTCGTGACTTCATCCAGGCGAATTCTGGAATTGTACTTCGAATACGCCACTGCAAATTCCTTCCACATCCTTCCTAATTCACCAGTCGTTTCTCACTCGACCCTATAACGTCTATATCTAAAAGTGCTATTCATAACCGAATAAAGTAAATAATAAATTCAGTCCGAGTACCTCGAGACTCGAACCGTATACCTTAGCGTATAATTCTGCTCGGTGGGTTCAAGGGAGAAACAGTGCGTTTCATGCGTACAGATGTAAACTACGGTAGACGCTTCGAAACCCATGTGTACTTAAAAAGTGAAACTGATCTCGCCATACGATACTACACAGCACTTGTCACTCTCTTGAATAAATCAATTTAGTTCCGATAAAACACTTAAACGTTTTATGCGTCCAGTGTTTTAACCGTGTTGTATAGGTTGGATTTTTTTAAATGTTCTTTTTTTATATTAAGTGTTACGAAGGATGAACTTTATTGCTAACATCTGCCTTAGGCTGTTTGGCTATGTCACACAGAAGCTGTTGAATTCTGTCAGTTAAAACAATTAAAATTATTTTGTCACCTTTTTGTCGGGTGTTCCTGGCATCGTTGGACCTACCGTTTATATTGATAGATACAGATTTAGTCTAGCCCCGTTTTCTTATTTACTGATATCAGCTATGAAACATATGTCAGCATGTGTATTACATTTATTATCCAATATTAATTTTCTTTCTTGTAAAAGAAATCTACGTTTTAAGGAAGTATTAACAACAAATCCGAATGCTTGGTGAATCTGTGGTGGTTTTGTAAATTCGTGCAAATTTTTCTTGGGAACTTTTGTTCAGTCACACTTTTGATAAAGATACTGAAACTTTTGACAGTGTGATTAAATTAATGGATCTGAGATTCAAGGTTCTCACGTTGATATAACTGTTTTGTGAATTTTCGAGTCGTGTCTACAATTCACAAGACAACTATCTTCTGACTCGCCACCGTTAGACGTTTAAGATGTACTTGTTGCCTCAATCATCGCCCTGATGATGCAGGAAAAAGTACGTATGAAAAAGTATACAGCTCCTCATTATGCAGTTTCCGCAGTCACCTACAGCTTCATCCATATTAGGTCCACGTGTTCTCAAACACCTTCAATGTGTTAATAAAGTCTTCTCGGGCTATCAGCCGTGTTAGATGGTGATTAATCGCCGACGTTTCTAGGACCATCTCCGTCCTAATTTTGAAGGTTGTTGACTGTGTGGCTCGTAGCGCGAACTAGTTCAAATAACATTTTGAAGTATAACCCGTAAAGACAAGAAGAAAAACTAACTCCTAGAAACAGGGCGCATCTTGAGAAGCTGACAGTCGCTCAATTAACCAAGATCCTTCCAATATTTTATGCTAATCACAGTGCTTACAAGAACTCGCTACTAGTGACCCCTGTCCTTTGCCAGATTTCGCAAGAAGGTGAACGTTACGAGAGGAAAACTTATGCCACTCCTGCTCTGTGTTGTGTTCGCCCTCAGTAGAAATGTGTCGACAAGCGAATGGAGGAAAGCAAACAGTGGCTCTCTATCCACACTATACGATGTGCTGATATATTTGCCCTTCACACGTGCCGAACCAGAGGCTATGGCGCTCGATGCACCGTGAACTGGAAGGACTTCGCCAGTGGCCAGCTCCTTCTTTATTTCTAGAAGCCAACTGAACACCGGTAATGATGAGGAGTGAGCCTGTTCTTGGTACACTGACCGCATATCTTATCTCAGATATCTGGTGGTTTCGTGACTTCATCCAGGCGAATTCTGGAATTGTACTTCGAATACGCCACTGCAAATTCCTTCCACATCCTTCCTAATTCACCAGTCGTTTCTCACTCGACCCTATAACGTCTATATCTAAAAGTGCTATTCATAACCGAATAAAGTAAATAATAAATTCAGTCCGAGTACCTCGAGACTCGAACCGTATACCTTAGCGTATAATTCTGCTCGGTGGGTTCAAGGGAGAAACAGTGCGTTTCATGCGTACAGATGTAAACTACGGTAGACGCTTCGAAACCCATGTGTACTTAAAAAGTGAAACTGATCTCGCCATACGATACTACACAGCACTTGTCACTCTCTTGAATAAATCAATTTAGTTCCGATAAAACACTTAAACGTTTTATGCGTCCAGTGTTTTAACCGTGTTGTATAGGTTGGATTTTTTTAAATGTTCTTTTTTTATATTAAGTGTTACGAAGGATGAACTTTATTGCGAACATCTGCCTTAGGCTGTTTGGCTATGTCACACAGAAGCTGTTGAATTCTGTCAGTTAAAACAATTAAAATTATTTTGTCACCTTTTTGTCGGGTGTTCCTGGCATCGTTGGACCTACCGTTTATATTGATAGATACAGATTTAGTCTAGCCCCGTTTTCTTATTTACTGATATCAGCTATGAAACATATGTCAGCATGTGTATTACATTTATTATCCAATATTAATTTTCTTTCTTGTAAAAGAAATCTACGTTTTAAGGAAGTATTAACAACAAATCCGAATGCTTGGTGAATCTATGGTGGTTTTGTAAATTCCTGCAAGTTTTTCTTGGGAACTTTTGTTCAGTCACACTTTTGATAAAGATACTGAAACTTTTGACAGTGTGATTAAATTAATGGATCTGAGATTCAAGGTTCTCACGTTGATATAACTGTTTTGTGAATTTTCGAGTCGTGTCTACAATTCACAAGACAACTATCTTCTGACTCGCCACCGTTAGACGTTTAAGATGTACTTGTTGCCTCAATCATCGCCCTGATGATGCAGGAAAAAGTACGTATGAAACGTTGATGAACTTTACCAGACTACACTTCGCTGCTACTCAGAAGACAGCGATCTTCAAATTAAAGAATCTCGGACAAAAATTAAAATGTAAAATTTGGTTATATATGAAAAGATTGTGTTATTCCAAAACGTTACGATGAAATTACTAAATAGAAGAGCAGATGAAGTAAAGTATATGTTTTAATTATTCGCCGATATGTACGAAAATAACATTTACCCGACTAATTTTTGCTGTATGTTCCAAAGTCATATTTAATCTAAAGCCAGTTGCCTGTTTCTGAGATGAAAAATGTTGATGGACAAAAAATACGTCCCTGTTCTGTTTGATTTTGAGCAGCTTGAGGCTCTTAGAATATGGACGTATGTAACGATGCACAGAACTCAACGACATAAAACAAATAAAGAAAATGTCACAAATTAATTACCATAATGTAATGGCATATGCCTCATATTTATATGAAAATTAAGGAGTGTCAGTAGGAAATGCGTTAAAATTAATATGAGAAGAAATTGTTAACAATATGTCAGAAAAATAGCCTATTTAAAATTCAGAATAATAGAATGGATTATAACAGACACTTCCCCAAATTATCTCTGCACAACATACAAACATAGAAGTCGATGGAGACATGCTTGAGCAAAATATATTATTTATTCATTTATTACAATTTTAGCTTACTTCTCTACAAAAACTATTATTTTTATATTATTTGTTTTCTGAAATAATTTCCTCTTAAGCTTAAAATCCAGACTAGTTTCGGTTGTCGTATTTGCGTAATTTGCAAACTTGTTTCACGAGTTGCTATCGTATTGTTGCTAATCTTTTTCCCAAACTCTGTCGTGCTCTTTATCAACTCCGGAACAACAGCAAAAAGAAAATTCAAAGATACCGGGTACAAGGGTCGTCGACACACAAAAATGAGTATAAATACGGGCTTCAGCCCTACTGGAACCACAGAACGACCGAGGAAGAGATTCAAGCCTGCAGATCCACTCATAACCTGTGAGTATTCAGCTTAAGAGTGAGTCCTCAATTCATTGAGGACAGTATAGGAGTACATCCGGAGATTCGAACCCGGTGCTTTCCAAATACAAACCGGTATAATTAACTTGAACGATGTATCATTAATTATACATACTTTCTAATGTTCTGAAAATAAGTCAAGGGGTTTATTTGGTGGCAATTTTTTGAAAACAAGGCACTCAGGAAGACGTTTGGACCTAGGAAATATGAAATAAGTGGATATTTTAGAATACTGCATAATGAGGTCACCTAGCATAGTGAGGATAATGAAAGCTAGAAGGCTCCGATGGGATGGACATGTAGCACGCATGGGGGAGGCAAAGGATGTATACAGGATTTTGGTATGGAATCCTTCTGGAAAACGACCACTGGGCAAACGAAGAAGGAGATGGGAGGATAACATTAAGATGAATCTTAGGGAGGTGGGCTGTGAGAATAGTAGATGGATGGTATTGGTTCAGGATCGTGTCCTGTGGTGGGCTTTGGTTATGTCGGTATTGTAATTGTGGGGTTTGCTACCAGGAGGTTAGTATATTGGTGGATTTCCGCATGTTCTGAGAATAACCAGCTATTGTTTTCTTAAACAGAGACTTCATCAACCTACTGTTCTATGTAGCGACAATGCGGGTGCCTTGTTCAAGGTATAAACCGAATTTACAAATATTATTTAGTTAAACTTTAAATTTGGGAAGAAACTGATTAAACGATATAAAACTGCAAGTAAGTATGCCATTAAATCGAGTAATACAAAGTCACCTTTGTCTTCTGCTTTTGTTGCGTAAAGTTACTTAAGTCGGTTCACGTCGAATTGATTGAGAGATTTGTTACGTACAGAGGAATGAAAAAGGCGATGTGGCGTCATTAAAAATTTAATATTCGCACGATACCGTAAATAATGCTTTGTCGGAGTCCACATCCTTATGGGAAATATCAGAGAATTTTTTACGGTAACACGTTCAAGAGATGCGGCTTAGATTAAACTATTTCATTATAATGCCCATTGCTGAGAATTCTGTGAGGCGCTGAACATTTCGTTTGTGATATTAATTAGTAACTTAGAGGTGCGTGTAGACAAAATTTTCAGATGGTATTTTTTATTTCTTAACGAAGTGTCTTCTGGCTTCTTCCAAAGTTTTGGTTGAAAAACCTGAAGGTAAGAGACAATTCGGGAGTCTTGGCGTGGATGGGAAGATAATACTGAGTGACAGGATTGCCCTGACCCAGGACAAAGATCGGTGGCAGGCTTAAAAGAACACGGCTCTGAACTTTCGGGTTCTATAAAAAAACGTGGAAATTCTTAACTAACTCGGAGACTATCAGCTAGTTAAGACGAACTCTGGAGTTACTTCGTCAGAGTTTCGTGTTAAGTTGTTTAAAATTATAGGCTGTAGATCTCCCTAAATGAGAGATCGGCCAATTACAAGGAGCATATCTAAGCAGGACCACAAGATGCAAATTTTGGTCGTTGATTGCAACTTTGCGAATGGGATTAGAAACCACGATCAAATGTATTTGACGTTTAAATATTGCACAAAATTTGTGTAACTTAAATTATTTCAGAATGAAAGTTTTTTTTCGAATCGGGTTGTTATAAACAGCTTATTATGTTTAATTTCTAAAATAAAATCATCGTATGTGCTTACACTAAACGCATATATGCGCATTTACAGGGTGGGTGGGAAGTAAGTAAGCATTAAATAATCGCTATATATTGAAAATATACAGGTTATAACCATTTCTCAATGCCTACTTATTTCCCTCCCCCCCTGTAGTTCTATAATATACGATATAATTTACAGACACATGTGCTCACTATGTTCCATTCTCAGTTATCATGATAGTATATTTTGTTTTACAAGTGATGTAATCATTTAACATACTTGGTGTCTCTTATAAGGGTAAAGGAAATTGTGAAATTACTTTACTGTATTTTTTATTTCCCTTTTTGCTCTTAATTAAAAGGAATGGTAAATGAATAAGTGATATGGGAAGGAATTATATAAAGGTAGGATAGGGAAGTAATGGAATTAGGAGCGAAAATACGAAATAAATCGTCCCTCTTTTAATTACAAGACCTCTTCAATCAGTCTGACATTTAGAAAGTGTTTGGTGATCTCTTGGCAGGCTACACACAACATGATCCGCCTTGTCGTCATTTTGTCTGTACTTGCTGTCTTCGAACACCATGTCAGCAGCCGACCTCAAAACCCTCTGGATATTGCATCATCGTTCGTGGGCAATAACAAGCCTGGGTTCAATCCCGCGGACTTCCTACGGCCTGGACAGACAACAGCAGCGCCAGCACAGGAGAGTGGTGGGATTAGCAAAAGGAGCGCTCAATTTAATATTGCAGATTTTTTTCCGGCTGGAGTTCCTACCATTCCACCTGCTATCTCTAACATTATTCCGACTAATATCCCTGGCATCAAAGACATGGTTCCAGGAGTGGGAGGAAAGGGAGATTCCACCACAGCACCCACTGAGAAGTGAATCACAGCTAATCTTTATTTATTTATTTCAAACAATTTGTTTAATATTTGCTGCACTTATTATTTTGAGTAATATAAAATGATTGCTTAGAAAATTACAAAAAATTGTTGCGTTACAACACTTTAAGTCAGATATCTGTGTTTCTGTATGTTTTATAACAACAGTGTTCACTTCTAGTTACACAGTAGATATATAGTAATTATATGCATAAAGAATGTATGAAATTAAATACATACACACATACACATAAATTGTCTCTTCTCAATGTTTCAATATCCCGGTCCTTCCTTACAGGTGAATTCGAAAATCACGTTTTTACATCTAGTTTACAATTTACCGTATGCATAAATGTCCTTTCATCTTATTCGACTGTTCTTAATTTTGGACTTGATACAGTTAACGTACCGTGCCACGGTGGTCTAGCGGTTAGAAGGCTGGTCTTGTAATCCTGGGGTCTCGGGTTCGATTCCCAGCGGTACCCGAATTTATAACTTGTGTTGGGCAAGGCCGTGGTCTAGGCAACACGGAGTTTTCCTCCGGGGGCTTCCCCGGTTTCTCCGTGGCATCCCAACAATTACTCCATTCACACACAGAAGAAGGCAATGGCAAACCACTTCTGGATCATCTGCCAAGAACGTATATGAACAGGTCCCAATCCGAGAAAAGGATGGAAGGATCCTGTTCATATGGACCTGTCGGCAGACAGAACACTACAAATAAAATAACAGTTAACGTATAATGCAGTAATATTGTACCATCAGGCCCGATCCTTCGTGCTAAGTCTCAACTTACTCACTTTGTTCTGATGCGCATTTTGTCTCTTCCTTCAACTCTAGAAATAAGTAATAGCCGTGTTAGGCTTATATGATCGTGATCCCTTGGAATTTTTGAGAAATTTTCGTTTTGTTGCTTACTACCATTCAGTTCAGAATCCCAGATTTTCTCTTCTCCTATCCAGAATCCCAAATAATAAATTTAAAGCCTTAATTTACCTGTTGTTTTGTATGAGTTTGCGGCTTGATATCTTACCATCAGGAAACAACATACGACTGTGTAAAATGTTCGTACTTCAGAGATAGAAAGTAGCAAGTGGCTGTGCAAGCTGATAATAAAGAGATTTATAATTTGTAGCCTGAAATATACTAATGTCTTTTTTGGGAGAAACCCCACTACATTGCGATTGACGGGACATGTAGCATGCAAGATAGAGCAAGGGAAGGCTTACAAAGCTTGGCGATATTGTTCTGGGTCGTGCAAAACAGCACAACCTCCTCAAAAATTTCATCTAAATCTGTCCAATAGTTCCCGAGTTGAATCGACTGGACGGACAGACAGACAGACACGACTGGACAGACGAATGGACGGACAGATAGACACGACCAGCTCATGATGCATTCTTTCTGTGCACTTCGTGCAAAAGAGCATATTAATGATTTGGAAACGATTGGTCAGGTATTTGCCCGGAGGGACTAAAAAATACACGTAGGTTTCGGAATGAAGTTTCGAACCCGGTATTATAGAATACAAAAACAAGAATATTGATCACTCGGTCCCGACATTTGGGCTGCTGCTTCTAAAACTTCTTAGTCCCACCGAATCTGATTAAAATATTTCACTCTTCCCCAGACTCAATAACAAATACTTTAGCTATGTGTCGATAACAATAAATATTTATTCATTTTATTTATTTACACTATTTACACTTTTGATGACTACTAATAAACGAGACAAAACTCGTTTATTTGAAGCTCCGAAATTGTAAGGATATCTAAAATTGGCCTGTCACGACAAAGCGGACGGGAAACTTTTATATTACTTTACCTGTACCACAGATTTAATTTCTTGAGTCAATCAAAATGGAAAACTATTTTTTTCCCATCTATTTAAATTGATAGCCAAGGCCAAGGCAGCTTTCGTCAAGAAGAGGATACTTCTCACTAGCAAGTTGGGCTTGGAGATGAAGAAGAAACTAGTGAAGTGTTACGTATGGAGCAGAGACTTGGACACTCAGGAAGAAGGAACAGAAATACCTGGAGAGTTTTGAAATGTGGTGTTGGAGAAGAATAGAGAAGATCAGGTGGACGGATCGAGTGACCAACGAAGAAGTATTGAGGAGAGTCAACGAGCAAAGAAGCATTCTGCAGGCGATTACACGAATGAAAGCTAACTGGCTGGGACATATTATGAGAAGGAATGGATTACTGAGTGATATCATCGAAGGCCAGGTTGAAGGAAAGCGAGGACTGGGAAGAAGACTGATACAGCTAACCGACGACCTTAAACAAGGAAAGAAGATGACGTTCCAGGAATTAAAGCGAGAAGCCGAGAATAGGGACAACTGGAGAGCTCTTTTTGGGCAGAGCAATGGACCTGTCGTAAGACAGAACACTTAATAATAATATAATATTTAAATTCCTTGCTGCTCCCTGAGTCAAGCTTGCAGGACCTTTGGGGGGCCGTGGCTCCCAGAGTGAGAAACACTGTTCTAAAGCATCAAAATTTCACCATATTTGTTTATTGTCGCCTAAATTATGCCGTGGGCGGACATAGTTACCGGCGGTGTGGGGGGTGGAATATGTCCGGAGAAAAGTCTCATCCGCCTGCCAAGAACAACAACTTCTGACGGCCGTACAAAGATACGATCCCCGTCCGTCCTGCTCCCGCACAGCCCCGTCTCTTCGTCATAATTAAATACTTGATTTTACTAACGAAAACCTTGTAAATAAAAATATCCTTGAAATGTGACCATCATCTTTAATCTTGTGTCACTTTTACACCCACGATATAATAAATATAAAAGAGACCTGTACATTCTTAGCATAATATTACAAATTTTAAGTTATATTTTTGATTAAACTTACTGAAACCATCAAAACCTTATAAGTGGTCTATGGGTTAAAGCCCACATTTAAGCTTGACTCCGATTTAATTTGATGGACCTCCAGATTGTCGTAGCCTGAGACATTTCTGTCTTCGGTTGACGATCGTAAGAGACAAGGTTGGGGCGAGGAAATGCATTTCTCCGGCTGTGTCGAATAGAGGCTCATGGATTTACTGATAGTATATACAAGGGCTCAGAATAGAAAGTCGTAGTATAATAAGAGGTGTTCTCACAGAAGGCGTTCTCGTGAGGTTACGTAATATACTAACATTCAGTCTCATTTCGATCTAATACCGGAGTAATTACTGTTAAAACGCTCTTTTCATAGACACAAACCATATAATAAGTTGAATCACGTTTTCGTGCGTTAGCAGTTCATTTATTTGAAACGACTGAGCTTATACCGTGATTACAAAATACACACAGTTGTTGCTATGGATTTTTATAATGATGTACTTCCGTTGGCGCGCCGTCCCACGTTGCTTAGCAACGCTTTCAATGTATGATCTGAATAAACAGAAATTTATATAAGGAACCCTTCGTTACGATGTGCGCCACGTGTCAGACGGAGACTTGAATCGGAATCTTCTCCTCTAATCGCCTGAAACGATTTACATGTCCGGATGGGTTGTTACCAAGGGTTTCCTGCCCTTTCATAGTTAGTATTTCAATGATCCGACGCTATCTGTAACTTATGAGATATTCTTAATGTATTTAAACTGTTCGGACGATTAAATATTTCCGCCCACAATCTCGGAAAGTGTATTCCACACCGGAACACATTTTATATCCCCATTCGTTCTTTGCCACGTGCATTTAGACGTACTAAATCCACCTTGTTCGATAGTTTCCCACATTGGCTATCAGATCGCAGCACCTCAGTGTCTACCTCGCGATTTTCTACATTCATAATTTTGATATAAAAGTTCGTAGAATATTCAAAAGCACGGTTTTGAGGTCATGCAATACAGTACAACGTCTATATTAAATTTAATCAAAATCCGTTCATTGGTTCTCGTGTTTAATCTACTGGAGAGACGGACGGACGGACACGACTAGCCCATAATGCGTTCTCGCTATGCATTTCGTGCAAAAGACGCATAATAACGGCAGTCCGTGTCGGAAAAGCTACATTACCTACCTAGGATATATAATATACGAGGTGCGATCGGAAAGTTTCCAGACTGCGCGTATAAAAAAAACCCGTACACTTATCTCAGGTATTAAATTCATCCATCACCCTCGAAGTAGCTCCCCTGGGAGTGAACACAACGATCCCAGCGCCGCTGCCAAGCCTGGAAGCATCCCTGGAAATCTTTCTTTGTCAGCTCGTATATTCGTATACAATGACAGTGGTTTATGTCAACTGCACATCGGTGTCAGCCCTGGAGGTCTATTTTGCTAAACCATTGACGTTACTTATAATAGTCTTAAGATATTAATATTCATATGTCTTTAAACATTTCATATAAATCTTAAGCTAACGTTACATGTCTTAATATGTAGGCTACGTAAAGTTTGTGGCCTATTTTGGGATTGAGTTTGTCTTAAAATACGGTTTTAATTTGGCCGATATGAACAAAGTCCACTCCGTGATCTTTAGTGCGGAAACCCTTCAAATTATTGTCCTAACTACGTGACGAGAAAAGTAAATCTTATTGTAGCCCGCAATACCGAAATCAGAACCCGGTCATTGCTTTGGGATATGACAAAGAAATTAGAAGATTCGAGCTCCTTATTATGCAGACCTCTCATACACTTTGTAAAGGAACTGCAGTCCTTTGAAGGCAGTGAAAGACAGACACGCATTGGATGAGTACGCCAATTGTAAACCGTGTCCCCGTATGGAGGGATTACAGGTCTCTACCACGTTTCACGTTGCGACATTATCTTGGTCGTCATCTGAATTTGTACATCCCTAGATTACTTCCGGTGATTTTGTCATGGAGATGCATTTTAATAAGTAAGTTTATTACGGAAAGCCTGTAAGTCCTTACACGAGCCAAAGTAAATCTGTATAAGGACCATCCAGAGTTAAAGTGTTTTAACGATATTTAAGTTGCTTAAGAATTCGCAGTGAAGTGTTACGTATGGAGTGTCGCGCTGTATGGAGCAGAGACTTGGACACTCAGGAAGAAGGAACAGAAATACCTGGAGAGTTTTGAAATGTGGTGTTGGAGAAGAATAGAGAAGATCAGGTGGACGGATCGAGTGACCAACGAAGAAGTATTGAGGAGAGTCAACGAGCAAAGAAACATTCTGCAGGCGATTACACGAAGGAAAGCTAACTGGCTGGGACATATTATGAGAAGGAATGGGTTACTGAGTGATGTCATCGAAGGCCAGGTTGAAGGAAAGAGAGGACTAGGA